CGAGTTACATCAGTCTGGACTTCCCCTTCTCTCGAACCAGATTTTGGCGAGCCGATCCGCGGCGTTGAGAAAGGAACCTCGTTACAGAATGATATATAAAGAAATATGCCAAATTGGTGAGAATTGACAAAGGCACAATATTAATATAAGTATATTTTTAGTATAAGTAATTTTTATTTTTTACGTTCTTCCAAAGATACAATTCGCTTTTGACAGATCTCTTTTTTCAAAATTTTCATCTGTCAGCCGATTAAATTTTGCAGCATCAAACATGGTGGCAAAACTAAACATTCTTTCGACTGGAGCCGAAGATGGCAACAGAGTATTGTATTTAAAGAATGCCGATTTGATAATTGTGGGTATGCATGCAAAATTGATAAATCATTTTTCTTGCTCTTGGCAGAAACGTTGAAATTTAATCTCACATGCAGTAACCCCTGTAATATTTTCAACGTTTGATTCAACGTTTTCATTGTCGAAATTAAACCCGTCATTACTAATGTCCATCTGATTAATGTCTATCAGATTCTGTGATGGAACGTGACGCTATTCCATTTTTTATAGCGGTCAATGCGTTGTCTCGTATCGTTTTACTTAGGCATTTCAACTATCTTATTTTAAATTTGGGGTGAGTTGCCGCCGCTACAGCAGCTTGCTTTCCTTCCTCGACAACTTTTAACAAATTCGAAAATCTACAGTGGAAGGAAAAACTATTAAAGTCTATCTTAAATTTACTGAAATACGAACGTAATTAAATTAATTTTTTCCAAATTGATGTTTATAATTAATTTTTGATAATTAAAATTACTTAGTTTTGCTTTCTCGCGTCTGTAACATTCGATATTCTAGATAATAATTGATGCAATCGATCATAAATTGTTTTTATTTTCTTTCTAAACTTGTTATCAGTAGATTTACCAATGCTGTGCAATAAATTAGATCTGCGTTGATCATTTTCTGCAATTTATTTTTTGTAGAAATAATTGTTGGTAGCGAGTAGCCATAATTAACATCGACTTCACCCTGAAGAATATCAAGTGCTTCTGCGATTGGCTCAGTGCATTTAACGTACTCCTCTAAGAATCTGTAAAATTAATAACATATTAACAAATCAGTGGAAAAATTTTTATTTTGCATGTTTTCCAAATTGTGTATATTACATAAAATCGTTCGTTGTTAAAAGATTTGCAATATCCATTTGAACACTCAAAATCAAAAGGTTGTCTTTCAACTTTATAAGTTGTTTGAAACAGTCGAAGAACGAATTCCATCGCGTAGCAACGGGTCGTTTCAGTGCTTCTCCCAAAATTTCGACCACGATCTCATATTTTTTTGGAGATCTCGTCAAGTTCCACAAACTCGTGCATTTCTTTATTACATCGTCGTACAATAATTTCATATTTTCGTGCAAATTGATACTATTTAAGATATCAGTTGTTGCAACTAAATGCAGAATGTGGCTAGCACATCTTTGATGAGGAGGTAATAATGGAGAAACAATTCCTTCAAAAGATACTATTTCTGCAGATTGATGTTCATTTTGATCTTGTTCTTCGTATGCTTCGATGAAGTCTACAACATTCATATTATCATTAGCTCCCGTACATTATTCATTTATCTATTTAAAGATCGATTTGTTTACACATTTATCCATCCTATCAATGTCTCCATTGCTTGGATTTAAAAGTATTGTTAAAATAAATTCTTAGACGTCGACTCACCTTCGCGGAACAAAGAATATGAACTCTGAATTTTTTAAAAGCTTTGACAAAGTTGGAACCATTGTCTGTAACAGTAGCTACCAACTTTTCACCAGTTATATCGTATTTTGAATGAATTTCATTCAAAATAATGGCGATTCGATCATGTGTGTGGCTTCCGGGGAATCGTTTGCAGGCAATGGCATATGATATTCTTTTGAAAGATTGTTCATCAATCTAAATGAAAGCATATATAAGTTCCAAATTTAATGACCACTGTTACAAGTTTCAAGTATACATTGATTAATAATATTAATTCTTTAATAATTACCCAATGAACAGTCACACCAATGAATCGACGACTGTGGCTATTTCAGATATCTGCTGTCGTACATACATATTTGGCGTTTGAAATCTCGCTCTTTATATTTTTTATTTTTTTTTGTATGACTTTTCAATTCTACGCAGTAATGTACGGGCAGATAAATGATGCAGTTGTTTGCCATCTTTACGAATATTTATATCTGTAATGCACATTTATAGCTCAAAATTCACTATCTATGTAGGAAATGTAATTACAGAATTCGAATTTCACATTTCTGTCATAAAGTATTTCGAATTCTGAAATTGACCATACAAGATTGTATTCTTTATATTTAATTGAATTAGATCAGAATTACCATCGAAAATTTTTTTGAATGACACTAATTCTACTGTATTATACGGTACAAAACTATCTAAAATAAAGTTTGTAACGTTATCTTCGAATTCTTTTTGGGAAAAATCACAGTAGGTTCTTCGCTTCTTATTATCCTGAGAACTTTGAAGGCGTTGTCTTTTAGCAAAGCAGTAATTTTCAAATTCCGTCAATTTTTGACTATGTACTCTCTGAAAACAGTTTAATATGAGAAGCATTTATTACGTGTTATATTCTTTAAGGACAAAGAGACACAAGTGGCACTCGGGCTTCTAGGAACAAGTGCTCGCGTCAGTGCCTAATAGATTAACAATTCTTAAATTAGTTTCGTAATGTAATTCCCGAAAAGTGGCCTCGGTCAATGACCTCCCTAAAAAGATTATTATTGGTCTTTCGACACACAACATAATTTTTCATTAATAATAGTAAAATAATAAGGGTGAATGCAATTAAAATAATTAGTTCAAAGCATCATACCTTCAAATAAGTTTTGAAATTAGATGAGGAGTTTAAAGTTCCACTTATGAC